CTATAAACAATTGGAAAATATTTGTTGTGCTAGACTTAAAATCGCAGCAAGTTTTTTTTCTATATATACAAAACAAATTCTAAAACTAAACGAAACGATGTTTTTTTTTTAGGCTCAAGCGATTCATATAATAAAATATTAACAACAAAAAGAAAAAGAAACAAAAACGGAACATTTTAGGGTTTATATGTATCGTAAAAATTGTTTGAATAAAAAATATACATATATATATATATATATACATATACAATACATGCGAAATATTAAATAAAAGAAAAATAAAAATTAAATAAACAATTGGAACTAATAAAAATAGACGACGCAAATGGGAATGTGTTTATATTGAAATCTCAAATATAAAACAAAAATAGAAATTTGCTTTACAATTTAAATTGGTTGATTTACAAAAATTGACATGGCTTAGGATCACATTCTGTCTTTAATTATAATAAGAAGCCAAAGTACATTTATGAAAGGAAGTTTTATTGTGTCCGTTTTTGTTTTCTTTCGTTTTTTATTGTACTTTCGAGCTTCATACATACGTAATTAATTATATATATATATGCATATATGTATATATATATATTCATAATTCTATAGTTATACATATGCTTAAATGCGTATGCGTATTTCGCTTGTGAGTTGCATCGTGTAGGCACGTTGAAAGGTTAGTTGGTAGACTTGTTTACACTTAAGCGATATTTCATATGCTAAAAATATGCTATATTGTACAGAGTTTTTTGTGTTTTGTATTTTTTTTTTATATATATATATATATTGTTTTTTTTTTAGTAGAGAGCTGTCGAGCTCCGTGCAACGGATCGAGCTGCTCTAGTAGATCTTGGATAGTTCGGAATAGATGGTCTTGAGCAGCTGGCGCTCCTGTTGGCTAATCGAGATATTCTCGGCACCAAAATCACGTAGCAAATGCTTTAGATCGCACATGTTGCGCTCGACCCAGGCGCAAATAATTTCGGCTAGGCCATATTGTTGCTGGATTGGCACAGAAGCGCCGGGTCGCTCGACCGGCTCATTATTATAGCTAAGGCAAGCCGATCCCAATTGTGGCGGCTCGTACTGGGCCAGTGTATAATAGTATTCAATTAATTTAATGTGTGCAGGCGATTGGCGTGAAGGCGGCAAATTTAGATGCACCAGCAACAGCAGGCGTAGCACCTCCACGCGACGCAACAGCTCGCCGTACATGAGTGGCTTGCGGCGCTCATAAATATTGTCGACAATGTCATCCAATTGCAGCAGGGCGCCGCGATAATCCTCGCGCTGCATGCTCATCTCGGCGCTTATTTCCAGATCATTGATTTGATGTGTGGGCGAGGCAAAGCTGCTCGTGCGCTCCAGCTTGCGCTTTAGATGCTTCAGTTCGCGCAGCACGGCTGCCTTGAAGACGCCGCTATCGGCGACACGTTCCGCAGCCTTGTTGTAGCAATGCAGGGCGCCCTCACGGAAGCCATTGTGGCCGCTGCGCAAGTGCAGCTGGCGAAATTCGTTGTGTGCTAGGAGAAAGGCGCGTGCACCCCGCACATACGCCTCGGCCTCACGTTGCGGTGTGCCGCCGTATGACTCGCATTTGGCGAAACCAATGTGACACATTGCCGCATATTGCATGATGCCCGATTCCTCAAAACTGTAGGCCAGACGCTGGAAATCGGCCTGCACATCGGCTACATTGGGCGCAAAGCGTCTGTCAAATATGAATTGTGCATTTGGCCTCGTGAAAATGTATGAACAAAAATGCCGCATTTTATTACTCACTTGAAGAAAACAACACGTTCGATTTTTTTAATTTTTGTTGAGGCGCGAAGATATTGTTCAATGGGATTCTTCGGGTATTGCTCGAGTTGATGATGGTGATGATGGTGATGGTGATGATGATGATGATGCTCCGCCGGCTGCCCGCTGGCAGTGCTGTTGTTACGTAGTTTTTCCATGATTTTTATTTTTATTTTCAAGTGCTATACATTATATTCTGCTCTTATTATAAATGAATTTGTCAAAAAACAAAAAATAGTAACAGCTTTTCAAGTGTTGTACAGTGCTTGCCCAAAAATGTTGACAAATAATGCAAAGGTAACGTTCAGCACAGGTAAATTGCTAAGCACATGTGACGTCAGAATGTTATGACATTCAGTTTTTTGAGTTTGAAATTCTTTTTAGGCAAAATACCAATTATTTTACAAGCCTACTTTCTTATATCATTTGCTTGTACAGCCAATGGCAAATATGCGTAAGTTGTGCTAAAGCGTTCAGTGCAATTAAAATCGCAATTTACTTAGCGTTACCTGATTATATTTCTACGCCATGGTTGTTGGGCGTTAGCCAGCACTATGCCGCACAGCTGTTTAAGCCCATGCATACAGCGCCATATTCTTGCAAAATCGTAGAACAGAAAGTAGAAAAATATTGCAGCGCACGCCACGTTCTCGCGCCGCAACGCATTTAATTAAAATATACTTATATATATATATATATCTATATCAGAGTGTTTTATCAATATAATTGATTAGGCGGTATCTAAAATGGCCATTGCCGAGCACGATAACGTTTTCATTTTTGTGCCAAATCTGATTGGTAAGTTGTCGTTTAGTAAACAAATGTGACGTCAAGTATAGTGGGCAATAATCGTGTGAGAGCAAGCAAAATATTAATGTGAATGCGACTTGCGTACGATTGGTTAAATTAGCTTGTAATATCAAATAATGCAAATATCTAATGTATAAAAGATAAATGTGTTTTTTGTTTCAACTTAAATTAATAAGACAAAAAACTGTATTTTTGTGTAACTTTTACATTGTTTTATTTTTTACCCCTGTCAATTCGCTTGCGCGTCCACGGTGCTAAGTGTGTACGGCAGCCAACAACAAATGTGTATACATATTAATGTTGTTGTTGTTATGCTAGTTCCCTAATTCAATTAGCTGTCGTTGGAGGCGCTGGCGCTGCAACCTGTCAAATGCAAAACAAACTGCCGCTAACACCACTACAACCCCTCATCATCCAGCCACCAAGCAATGTCACCCACAGCGCCATCTATGTTCACACACATTATCGATTGAAATGACATTTGTTTATTATTGCTTGACTAATTGCAGGTTATGCACGCATCGTTTTGGCCATTATTGCGTTTTGGTTTATGTCCACGAACTATGTGATCGCCGGTTGGTGTTATATAATTAGTGCACTTCTGGATGCCGTCGATGGCCATGCCGCCCGGGCCTTCAATCAGAGTGAGTCCGCAATTTCCGCACATTTTCACATTTCACAGTATTCATCATCGGCGTTTGCCAAGCGCCAATCATCGACCAGCAGCCGGCCATGACTCACGTTGCCGGCCAAAAGTACCGCTAATGCTGGCCATCTATGAAAACTTACTTATGCATGTGTTTGTGCACACATTGGCCACATACGTGTCCAGAATTTATATCGTATGATGCCATATTGTCTCGCAAACAGTGGCCGGTATTAACCGGCTTTGCACGGTCCAATTGATTATATTTCGATTTGCAATTAGTTTCACAGCAATTTTCCGTCACAGTCTGCAATTTCATATTTAATTTCGAATATTTGCCAACTTTTCATTGAATATTTCACGATTACACTTAAATTGCTTTCGCCTGTTTTCAGGCACACGCTTCGGCGCCATGCTGGACCAGTTGACGGATCGCTGCGGCACCACGGGTCTGCTGGTTACCCTGGCCTATTTCTATCCCAGCTACATGTTCTGGTTTCAGCTGTCGATCGCCATTGATGTCGCTTGCCATTGGCTCTACATGCAAACGTGAGTAGCTACAGTTTTCCGGATAGTTAGAATCTATTTCAAACCAATTTTCAGGAGCGTTGTGGTGGGACGAGTCTCGCACAAGGTGAATGATAACTTTGTGATGCGCATCTATTACCAGAAGGACGTGCTGACCTTTATGTGCTGCGTGAATGAGCTCTTCTACATTTGCCTGTATCTATTGCATTTTACCTATGGACCTTTGAGTATGCACTGTCCAGATTATTTACACAAGATTGTCTTTATTCAATATTTAATTTTGTTTGCAGTCATCGGCGTTTCGCTGTTCAAAATACTTGCCTTCCTTACCGGGCCCTTTGCGGTGCTAAAGGCCCTGATCTCTGTTATGCATGCCTATGTCGCTGGCGCTGATTTGGCTGCGGTGGATGTGCGTGAGCGCCAGGAGAAGCGCCAGAAGGCCGAGCCCGTGGTTGCTGGCAAAAAGTTGGAGTAATAAAAGCTAGAAACAGGAAAAAACAGAAAGAATGAAGTAACTAAAGTACGAAGCAAAACAATTGATTCCAAATAACTAAAACAAAAACAACTAATTATATTATAGTTTAATTTTAGTTATTAGTTCGCTCTATCGCTATTTGTTGACTTTATTTTGTATTTTTTATTTAATATATATTTAATTTGGATGCGGGCGGGCGACACTTGTGTCAACAGGTGATTTAAGCATTAAAATTAAATTTATATATATATATATATATATTTGCCTAAGTTAACGTTAATTTTTGAATTTTGTCACGCTTATATACATATGTATATATATATATACATAAGCGAATTGTTAATGGTTTAATTAGAATTGATGTCATCCATTTAATGTGAATTTTCATAATCTAACCAACTAACTCTATGTATTTAATGGTATAATTAAGTCGTAGCATACAATTGGTACCTTCCAAAAATAATGCAAGTCGTGACCTGGCAATGGAGCAAACTAAGGTATATGTATGACTGCCATCGCATTTTCGAATTAGTTGAAACGCGTGGCGATATTAGTCAAAAAAAAACTTACAAACGAATATGAAAAATAGATACAAAAAAAAAAAACATTATAAATTCAATATTTAATAGATTGTCAGTGGTGAACATGAGTAATAAATAGTTTTTGTGTGCAAAATTTCAAGTTCAGTTAATTGATTCATTTGTACCGGAGTTGCAAGTAATTATTTTGAATTTGGCGCCACTTCAATGCAAAGCAGCCAAAATAAGACAAGCGATATTGCAGCCCTGCTCAAAAAGCCGCTAAGCAACGCACAGCTGACGCACAGTGCTGTGTAGCCCTGGTAAAACTAGCAACACCACACACTGATTTGTTATTGTTATTAATTGCGAATTACATATATCCATATATTTGAAACATGTCTACAACGACGGCACAGCAGTCACCTATCCATTGACTAAGCCTGACTTAAGTGCAGCTCAGCCATCATGAAGATGGGAATGGGCTACACAGTACTCTCGCGATTGCGAACCCTAGCACGCTACACAATCGCCTACGCTTGTATAACCCATTGCACGTTTGAGTATGTGGGTGACTTTGTTTTGGTAAGTGGCAAGCTGTTGTTGTTGTTGGTCTTATGTATTAAATGTGCATGTGTGTGTACATTGTTATCGATAAACGATGCTTTCAGTGCAAAGGACCCTCCATGGAGCCAACGCTCTTCTCAGATAACGTGCTGCTGACGGAACGCCTATCCAAATATTGGCGTAAATATCAATCCGGCGATATTATTATTGCCGTTTCGCCGGTTAATGCCAGCCAGTATATATGCAAACGCATTGTGGCCGTGTCCGGTGAGAAGATAACGACACTTAAGCCACATCCTATTGAGGCGGAATCAGCATCAAAACAGCCGAGCGAAATATCTATGGTTACGGATTATGTGCCGCATGGCTGTGTTTGGATCGAGGGCGATAATAAGAGCAATAGTTCGGATTCACGTTACTATGGGCCCATACCGCTTGGACTGATACGAAGTCGAGTCGTCTGTCGCATTTGGCCACTCTCGGAGCTAACGGGCCTGTAGTACCAACGCAAGGCCACAAATTTATAGTTGTTAACTTCCCTTTTAATGTAAATTAACGACCAGTACAAATAAAAGCTGAAAACATGCATGACAAAACAGTTACGTCCACGTCCTTTGGCCGTTAGCAGATTGACTGGCCCGTCCAGTGTTAGACAATGCAAAAGCTAAACAAACAAAAAAAAACCTAATTGGCTATTAACGACCATGTGCAACACTGTTATCGATAAATGAAATAACAATTGATCGATATGTAGTTTGTCCTTGGGACATTTGATTAAAATTTAGCTACAGATTTACGCAGAGGGTATGTACAAATTAAAACTAGACACAGTTACAAAATTGCACTATTTTTTTGGCACATCCTTGTCATCTTTCGCCTGATCAACGTAATACAGCTGGTACTCCTTCTTAAGCACCTGATGCGTCATATTGGTGCACGTAAAGTCCAGTCCGCGTTTCTGATAGTCCAGATAGGTGCGCACAAACAGCCGACTCGCCTCGAGCACCTGCGGATTACGCATATACTCATCCATTGGCATCCAGCAAACGCGGGCAATTTCGCGTTCGCAACGCTTCAGGTCCAGATTGAGCGGCTTCAGACCGATCACCACATAAATATCGGAACAGTCGAAATTGCCGCCATGCGAGTGTCGCAGACAGACCATTGAACGGAATGTTGTCCGTATGCCCGTCTCCTCGACCACCTCACGTACCGCCGAATCGACAAGATTCTCGCGCGGCTCCACATAGCCGCCGGGCAACTTCCACATATTCTTCGCTATCGCATATTTGTCGGAAACAACGAGCACCTCATTCTGATCGTTGATCACCAGACCGCCGACGCCGAGCAGCGTGTGCGCATAGCTGGGCAGGTTGCTCTGCTCGTGCGTGGGCAGCCAACGGTACATGGTGACCACACCTGTGCGCGCATGATGAAAATCGAAGCCAGCGTCAGCCAAAATGGGCACCCATTCGGCTTGCTCCTTGTAGACGCGAAACCAAATCGTACGATTCTTGTTTGTACGCCAATAGTCCAACGATTCTACAAAAAAACAAACAATACATTTAGCTACATTTTTGATTTGATTAAATATGTTTCTGTATCGTTTACTGTGTAGCTTTTCGGTGAATTGCGATTTGTTAGCAATTTTCAGATCCTTGCAGTCCACCGTAACGCCCAGAAAACGATCCGTCACGCCACAAAAGACATCCGGCGGTGAGGCCATGCTCTTTGAACTGCAAATTAAGTACTTGTATTATATATAAACTAGTTGATTTTAATGCGTAATATGCACTTACGACTGATAAGAGCGCGCAACGTGCTTGACGAGTTGTCGCTGTGGCCAGGCGGAAGATCTGCTCCTGCTGCTGCAGTTGATGCTGCTGCTGTAATGTTTGTGCGTTATTGCTCCTGTTCCAATTGTAACCTTGCGCCATGCATTTAGCGCGCTTAATAAACAACAATTACTTCGGCACAGCAATGCGACAGACGTCATTAAGTATGCAATTGAGCAATGTGACCAGATGGCAAGAATGCGTGGAGCTGTCAACGACAATGACGCTGGTGTTGCCTATGCAACCAATTGTAGCTGCAGCCTACAAGTATAATTTTGTAAGAAAACAACAAACAAACAAACAACAAAAGCAAATCGAAATCTGAACACATTTGGGGAATTTAGAGTGGCATATATTATATGCGAAACACAAATATCACTCAGCAATGCGAATTATTTATTAACAGCGTACTTGCCTTAAAACGCAGCTCAAAGTCTTTGCAGAGAGACCATATTGTATTACTTGTAAAAAGTCTACTTTTAGGTGCGAAATCTCATAAACTTACACATGTGCAATATACATCATTTTCGTAATTTACTGGCACAAAACTATCTGTCTGGCATTGATAAGCGCAGCAGTTTAATGATCCCGCCGCACGTCTGTCGTTTCCTTCGAATTTTACGCATAGGCGTTTCTACTCTGTTCTAAGCTGAATGTCAAATATAGCGGCAACCTTGAATGACAATGACTGCGTGTGTGTGTGTGTGTATGTCGGCAATTGTTTCCGTATTTGCTCTGCGCTTTGTTTTTGTTTATCAGGCGTTATCAAAATATGCGAGTTTTATGTAACGCAAACACACACACACACACAAACAAACTCAGGCATGTACACACATCTCATTAATTGGCATAGTTCACGTATAAGGTTGCTTTAAGTTGACCCCACAATTTGTACTCTATACGTTTATTTATTTACACTTACAATTTCGCGCCAGTTTCTTTTAGCGATACAAGGTTCACAGCATTCGACACAATGTGACCGTTCATGTCATACGTAAAAATATTTATGAAATTTAGCATTAATAGTGCCAATTTACCAAATTGCTTTCAATATATATTATTTAAAAGATGGCAAATATGAATGATAATGACGCTCGGACTACATAATTGGCTGTATGTAGGCAATCGCATTTGCAATTCACATCTGCAGCGAAAAGAATAATTAATAATTCGTTGCCGCGATCAATGCATAACGTATTAATTTTGTTTGCGCACTTAAATGACATTCACAATAGAAACGGATAGCGAGGACAACAAAATGCAAGAAGGTCACACTGATCTATAGTGCTGCCCAGCACAACAGACACTATCTATTGCAGTTCGAACATTTCTTAAACGCGTTTCTACGCGCCATGTTGTTGAAATGCCCAAAATCGGTGCATTTGGTATTTAAGGTACGCGATATGGTCACACTGATCTGCAGTGCGGCCCATCACTGGCTATAACGATAGACGCATGCATGCATCATTTATATATCGATATATATAGATCGTTACATTTGTAGAGCGCGCGCTTTTATTTTGAATTCGAACTAAACGAATAATGAATAATTTGTACATGTTGCATGTTGTATATTTGCCTTGTTGAATTGTTTATGTATGACACAGATATGCAAATAGATACAAATGTATATGGTTTGCATAGGCATAGGCATATTAAAGCATTACGTGCTGGCGATTGCGTGACACTCAAATTTCAATTCCAATATCAACATATTTTTGCATTACATTTATAAATTCATTTCACTGCGTTACGATATGTACACACACACATATATACATATATATATATATATTTATATATATATATATATTTATATATATACTTTTTTTTTTTTAAGATATACCCTGCATATGTTAAGCATATGTTTGTTTGCACCCAATTCGATCGGTCCTCGATTTATGTACAATGTAATGCAAGAATATGCCCCCAACACAAGTATTGCACTCGGCTATTTCGAATTGCTATCCTGCGGCTCCTCGTCCAGCAAGAGCCACGGATGATTGATGGCCGCATAGGCGGATACGCGACGCAACGGATCGGTGCACAGCATCGGCATTAGAAACTCGGCGAATTCCGTGGCATCGTTTGGCGACCAATTGTAGCGCTCCATTAGCACCTTGTTCAATGGATGCAAGTCCAGATTTTTGATATTCAACAGCTGTCCGTCGGCATCAAAGATTTCGGCAGAGTATTCGCCGCGCTCGATCAGCTCCTTGGGTATGGGACCGCAGGTCTCAATGATATGCGCCACATGCACCTCATCCTGCGAGGCATCGCCGCGCCATTTGTTCGGCTCGAACAGATATTCACCGGTGGCCAGCTCCCAGAAGAGGCAGGCGGCGCTCCACAGATCCGCCGACGTATCATAGCCGGCGCCCAATATGACCTCAATAGCGCGATATTCCCGCGTCTGTATATCCTCGGTGACATGGTGATCGATGAAACAGGCATTGCCCACATCCGCAATGGCCACCTTCAGCTTGCACGGCTCCAGTGCGGGATCCGTGCGCTTGATTAGATTCAGATTCGGCTGTGCTGTCATCGATTGTTGCTCCACCTTGGAGTGAGTGAAGCGTTGGGCGGCAGCCGGTTTCTTGGCTGGCTTTTTGATTTTGATACGTTTGCTGCTCGAATGGAACGGTTCGTTGTCCTCCTTCTCCTCCCGCTCGATGCACTTTTGCACGTAACGCATAAACTTCTCCGGGCTGCTGTTCAGCAGCTTCATCGCCTTCGAGCCCGCCTCCTGGCGACGCTCCCGGCCGCGCTTCTTGCCCGCCAGCTGCGATTGTGGCTCACCGGGCGCCGTCTGCCGGAGCAGCAGAGCCGTATCCCCGACCTGTTCCGTAAACTGTTCGCTGAGCGCCTGCAGCTGCTGCAGCTCCGCATCGTTCAGTATATTCGGTCCGTCGTAGGCGAGAAAGGGCAGCTGATTGGTGACCGCATCTACGGCCATTTTGGTGGTGAGCAGACCGTGCCGGGCCAGCTGCAGGAGATCGGTGATGCCGCGTTCCCGCAGCCACTTGCGATGCGATTGAAAGAAGCTGATGCTTTGCTTGGTCTTGGTGCGCAGCCGGCGCTTGGCCGTTTTGCTCAGCTTGGCCTCCGGATCCAGCACCAGCTGCTGGACATGCTCCTGCAGATACTTCTTGGACGCCTCGGCCGCCTGGCTGCGCAGCGCCACATCGTCCGCCACCAGCAGCACATTCTCCGGCTTCAGATCCGTATGTATCAGATTGCCCTGGTCGTGCAGCAGATACAGGCCCTGGAGCACCTGGTAGGCGATCTGCTTGACATTGTACAGCGGCAGACCCTGATAGCCGCTGCGCTGGATCAGCATTAGCATATTGTCGCCGAGCACATCGAAGACCAGACACTGATGTGTGCCATTTACGCCGCTTGTGCTAAAGTTGTCCGTCAGATTGACGACACGATCCCGCAGAGGATGCCAGCTCAGCTGGGCGATGTGCCGCAGCAGCCGGATCTCGTGCCGTGCCGATTCCGCATAGAGCACCGCCGACTTGACCAGCTTGACGGCGCAATAGCGATTCCTTTGCGTATCATAGCACAGCCACACGGTCGAATAATGACCCCAGCCCAGTTTGCTGATCGCAAAATAACGCTGATGGAATGCGTCGCCCACGTTCACCGGATGATAGCCGCCGGGTCGATAATCGCTTGGGCTTTCGTTTGCATACGTATATGGTGTGGTGGGCGTGGTCTCGTCATCGTCGTCATCCTCATCCTCATCGTTGTCCACATCCTCCTCCTCGTCGTCATCGTCATCGTCGTCGTCGTCGTCGTCGTCGTCGTCGTTGTCATCCTGTTCGTCGTCGAGCTCATTGACTTCGCCCACAACGATTACCTCATGGTCAACGTCATGCTCCTCCCGCTGCTGTTCCAGCCGGTGCGTTAGCTGATTCTCCGATCTGCTGCGATAGACGCCATATTTATAGCTCGGCTCCGGCAGCTGCTGCCGCTGCTGCAGCACAACATCCTCCATGCAGTCCATTCTGTTGCCAGTCTGTGTCAGCTCCAGCATGACCAGATCTTCCACATGCTCCGCGACGTCCAGCCCGGGCAGCTTGTTGGGGCAGCCAGAGCTGGATGCAGATGTGCAGGTGATGAAGCTGGCGATCGCTGCTCCCGCTCCTGCTCCTCCGCCTGCCTCTGCTGTTTCTGCTCCTGCTCCTGCTCCGGCTCCTCCGCCTGTTTCTCTGCCTGCTCCGTCTGCTCCTGCTCCTGCGGCTTCTTCTTCTTCTTCGTCGTCGTCTTCGTCGTCGTCGTTGTCGTCTTCTTCTTCGTTGGAGCTGGACTTGTGCGACATCGTTTCAGCACTCCGTGTTGCTCTTGTAGCTGTTGTTGTTGTTGTTGTTGTTACTATAAAAATGGGAATTTTGATTAGTTCTCGAGTCTACTTTTTCATGATTCGTTTTTTTTTTTATTTTCTTTCGATTTTCTCTATATATTTCTGGTATTGGGTTTTCAATATTTTCGGTCTACGTACGGTACAATTTTTTTTTCGTATTATTTTGTTCAAAAATATATATATCTGGTTTGGAAATTTGATGTGCGTGTTGTATATATAATATACATGCTAGAATTTTAACGGAGTACTAAACCAATTCCGACATTTCCCCATTGACATTGAGGCATTTAATCAAACGAAATCGCCTGCTGCGATCCCAAAAGTTATTCCAAATTCGAAAAGCTATCACCAAGCCGAACTAGTTCCAGTTCCGGACTGAATCACTTTTTATTGCTTAAGTGGGTTTTCATTTTCATTTTTATGGGTCGATCCCAAAAGTTATTCCAAATTCAAAAAGCTAGCACCAAGTCGAACTAGTTCCAGTTCCGGAACGAAGCACTTTCTTTTGCTTGAGTTGGTTTGGTTTATAATATTTATCTAAATATCATTTTCATGTGTCGAACCCAAAGTTATTCCAATACAAAAAATTGTTTACCAAGCCGAACTAGTTCCAGTTCCGGAACTTGGCTTTATTTCGAGCCAAATCACTTTTATTGCGTAAGTTGGTTTAGGTAATAATATTTATTTAAATACCATTTTCAAAAGTCCAACCAATTTGAATCAGAAACTCGCATTTTGTCTTTAGCATGAACCAAATCTGGAACCTGTTAGACCTGAACCTAAGCCGGAACCGAGTGACCGAGTGTTTTTTCTCAAAATCACTCCGATTTTGGTTCCGGTTCAAAAATCAAAACTTGTTTGATGAACTTCCTTGAATATCTCGTTTGAATATTGTCTGATTTTTAAATGTTACACCTTTTTGAATTCGTACGGATCTCTACTATCAATTGACATTCAAAGAAATTTAAAATCGAAGGGTACAATAAAATTGTTGACCAAAAAACGATTCGTTTGATGATGTTTTTGAACAACTCCGCCAAAAAATGTCAGATTTTGAAATTTTATACCATTTTGGAGACGTAAGAATTAATACTTTCGATTGACATTCGAAACTAATTTGATCAAATGCAAGGGATTGAGAAGTCTTAATACGTCTCTACAGAGTGCTCTATTATTTTATATATATATTTAAGTTGTGCTCCTTTAAAGAACAGCATGTCCATTTGTTTCCAGTGTTGTGCAATTGCGCGGCCTAACCGGAAAGTTTTAAATGTTGTGCAGCGATTCGGAAAATGCAATTTGGAGCAACAAAGCGCGAGCAATACCAAAAACCAGTTACGGTTTATCGGACGACAACAAAACTGAAAGAGAATAGAGAAATGAAAACAAAAAAAAAAAAAAATGTGAAAGGGGATTAAAACTGTGTTGCAAAATGCACAATTTAACAAAGTCAGCTTGTTGCCACGCGGGGGGTGGTGCCCATTCAGGTGCCTCAATTGGGCACAACAAAGCCCAAATCCATTGAATTATTCCCCGAACAAATTACGTTTCCATTTCTTTTTTTATTTGATTTATTTCATTTCGGTTGCTGTTTGTATTTTGATTGCCGGCTTAGCGTCTATTTTTTGGGCGAAAAAAGTTACAAAAAGCAGAAAAAAATAAATTTGAAAAAAAAAAATGAAAAACAAAACTAAAAATGATTACCCCTGCCACCAACACCCCCCCCCCCCCCTCCACCCTCCACCCTCCGTATAACAAGGGGCTATTTGCACAGTTGTTTAAATAAATTTTCCGCCAAGGGTTGCGCAGCATTTGGATTTCCATTCAATAGGCGCTGCTGCTGTTGGGCTTAAGTGAAAATTCTAGCTCAAATATTTATTGAGAATGCGCTGGCGTTATTAGACGGGGTGAGTGGCGGAGAGGGGGGGGGGGGGGGACAGCGACCTGTCTGGCATTTCCCAGGCCGCGATCCGATAACGTAATCGAAACCAAAAAAAAAAAAAACTGAAACCCTTTTTGCCTAACAAGCTTCTTGTTTGTAATTAGGGAGTTTTTCTTACAAAAATGAAAAAAAAGAAAAACATAAGAAAATGTTGATTTGTGTGTGTGTGCGTGTCCCTTCTCTTTATTTCTCCCAATTAAGCGCTATTTTGGGTGTCCCGTTATGCATTGTTTAATCAAAAATATTTACATACTTTGCCTGAAAGCTGCAGCCCATCCGTATACCCTGTACCTATGGGAACTGCGGGTATATTGCTGTTGTGCAACAGGCTTAATCCAATTTGGCATACGCTCGGCACAGTATACACAGTTCGAGAATATTTCGCCTTTTGAGAAACAGTCTTCGTAATAGGGTATACGTGCGTGTGCTCTAAATTTAATAGGAGTTTATCCAGCATACATTTTCCGTAGCGTGCGGCTAAGGAGAGTAGATTGCGGCGTGCGCTCTTATCTGTATTTGTGTTTGATTTTGTGTATACATACAGCTACAGGGTATCTGCTAATTGTTCACGTTTTTTTTTGCATAATATAGGTACAAAGCGTTTTTAATTGCGCGAATAAATTGCATTTTTGAAGAAAATTGCAGCCAGTGTTGCCGGCGCCTAAAATATGTCAATTGAAAGCTTTTCTGCAAGTTGGCAACGCTGCGCATGCGCATCATTCACTCACTCTCTCTCTCTCTCTTTCAGTCTATACGCACGCGCCCACTGTACATGTGCGCATGCGTGAGTGTGTGTGGGCGAGACGCTGCGCAGCTGTAATTGATTTTTGTTTCTCTGCTGCTTTTCTTATCGCTCGTTTGTTTTCAATTTCTAACGGTAATAAGCAGCATAATTGGCACATTTTACAGAAACTGACGGAATGCGCAACAATGCGCAAGGGCAGCGGCAGCGGCAGCTGCAGAGCGCGACAAAAGACGGCAAACGGCGCATGCCAAAAATGCTGCTGCTGCTGCAAAAAAATACAACAACAAGGAAACCAAAGATGCAATTGGAAGAAGCAGTCAGACGGAGACAGGCGGCAGGGCGAGACAATGGGAAAAGTGGAAAAATCTCGGCAACAAACAACACCCAAAGGACAGCTGTCGGCTGCAGCGTCTCAGCCAGCGACGTCATCATCAACAGCAGCAGCAGCGTCGGCAGCAGCGCTGGCAGCGACGCTGGCAGCGGCATCTTGACAGGCGGCGGCGCAGGCGCAGGCAGCTAAAACAACGCGCGGTCAAACGGTAATTGGATTAGATCAGATGCAACCCCATTTTTGGGCTGGCAGCCACGTTGACCCGCGGCAGCTCGCAGGCTAATCAAGGCACCGCTCGACTCCGTTTGATGCTCTAACAAATGGGTATGTCAACTTTTTAACCAAATGTGTAACGCATTGCACAAGGAACAACCCATAAAATACATTTATATAGTCCTGATTATTATCAGCCGAGTCGTTATAGTAAAAGTATCTCTATTTTCTAGATTCCGAAAGATATCTGTTTGTAACTGGTCATAAGTCATATGCATGTCGAACCCCCATATCATCTAGACGTAACACAAAATATCTAGAACTAGCTTAAAAGGTTTTTGTAGGATCCCGACATATAGGCAGAGCCTTAACAACATGCAACTACTATATCATATATACTATAGATTACTTCGACATAGTTATAGAGAGCGCAATAGGCTGAATTTTGCTCCTTATATATATTTAGCTCTCAGTCTATAAGCAAAGTCCAATGTTGATAGACCAGACATATATATACCCAATCGAACTCAGTTCCCAGTGCAGATAGAATGGCAAAACTTTGTACAGCGGCATCTTTCAGCTCTAACAAGAAAATACCTTAATACCAGTCAGATCCCCAGACTACATCATATAGCTGCCTGTGTGAACTCAGCTCTTGGTGAAGGTATCATAATGAAATTTGGTACAGATGCTTTATTTAGCTCAAAGTAGAATATATATTGAGCTTGGGCGGATTGGAACAATATATCATATAGCTACCATAGAAACAATTGGTAAGTAATCTGGTTTTTTGCTTGCTCAATTACATGATTTACATTTCCCTTTACAGCTCTTCAAAATCTTGGCAACAGCAGGTCGCAATATTATATATATATATATATATCTGGATGAAGTTTGGAACAGCTCAAAGGGTATTTCAACTTCGGTAGCCCGGTGAAAGGTCTTTCTGCAGCTTCCTGATGCTGTTGCCAAAGAAAGCGGCGGAAATTAATTAAGAAAACATTGGATTTGCAGGCAGCGCGAGGGACGCAACGCGTTGAGGTTGTCCGTCAAACCGAAGAAACCAGCCCGCGGGCAGCGCGTTGCCCTTTGCCCCGCGTCCGCAACTGAATGTCCCATAACGAAGGTTCATTTTTATTGCATGTAAGTTATTTACATGCACATGAATGCACATCCAAAAAAAAAAAAAAAAATACAACATTAAAAGGTTTCCCATTTTGTAGATTTCGATTTCGTGACCCTTTACAATTGGGCTTAATTGTGTTTGACTGGCTGGCGGTCACCAAACCTAGAACAACATCTCTTCACCAATGGCATTTTATATGTTATAAGCACTACGATTTCCAGTTTTTTATGATGTCATATAGTTTTCCGATGTTATAGATGCTGCTCTTATAGTTGGACGATTGCAAAAACCCGACTACGAATGCAAATTATTTTTGTAGGTTCGATTGGTTCTTGCATCTGAGTTTCCACACCTGTAAACAATTTATTTTTAATGCTGAATATTAGTCAACATTTTTTTTTTCTTAATATTTAAAGTAATATACGATTTTTTTCGGCCTTCAGCTTGGCTGTTTTTTCGGTTTGATTTAAGGCTCAGTTTATAGTTAAATATAATTTCAAATTTTACAAAATGGCTGTATTTTAGTTTTAAGATATATTAATCTATATAAAGAGCGTAATCTATGAAGGGATACTAACCCCGATTATAAAAGACTTTCAACTGAGATCGTTCAATATTTGTAGTCTATAATAAATGATACTCTTCCATATCTATATATACTCGTCTTTTAACTGAGATCCTTTCCAATACTCTATATACATACCAAATAGTTGGTGTATCTTCGAGAAATGCTTAAAAACGCAAATCTCAAATTCGTTATTTATCGATATTACAGAGTTGAGAGGATCTATGGCAAAAATATGCCAAGTTCCTGTGTGTTCGAGGGGAATAGAAATTTAAGATTTCGGTTTTTGCTTCTAGCACTTGTAGATCTCGAGGTCCTGATCCTGAATATACACACATTGGATAAGAGTATAATCATAATAATAATCTTTAACTAACGACCAACTTTGAGAAATTGTTTTTCTACAGTTTGAACTCTCGCTCTGGCTCTCATTCCAGGCGAAGGTCCTTTGGGTCGTTTAATTGAAAATTCTGTGACATCGTGTTGACAATTTTCCATGCTTGACATTTGACGAGATGCTCCCGTTTTGTGTTTTTTTTTTTTTATTGGGCAGCCTGGGAATGTTGTGGGCCGAACGGAAAATCAGTTATCATTTATCATGCAGGATGCGAATGGAGTGACAGGATGTGACTGGGCACTAACGATTGTTGTTGTTGTGGCCAGCCTGGCGCATCCTGTTGCCAGGACAATGGATCAAAACAGAACCAAAATTCAGATGATGATGATGCGTAACAAACGCGAGACAGCAGCTGGCGTGAAACCAACCGCAAGTTCGCGCCCATGTTGCGGGCCAAAGGATTAAAGGATCCTTTGACTACAACAGGAATAAACAGCAACAACAACAACAACAACAGAGAACAGTATCAAAACAAAAACAAACAGGCGAAACGTCGTGCAAAACTGACCTCTTCATTATGTAGAATGTCAACGTAGCGCGGAATCTCTTGTCGTGGGTCAGGATCAGCGTCGCGGCGACAGTTCACTGAACCGGAAAATTATGCAGAATGTTGTCAAGGAAAAGCCAAACGAAAAGGAAAATCAGCGGGAGGAGCAGAAGATTCGCTGCCTGCGATTGTCCCGCGGCAGTAGGGAGGGAGGCAGCTCAGCTGACCCCTTTGAGGTCTGTGAAAATAGGGCGGTTGTTGCCCTTGTTTTTATTGCCCATCCCTCCCCCCCCTCCTCCCCTCGCCCCTCTTGCCGTGTCGTGGACAATTGATTCTGTGACACAAATTCGGTGTAAAGAGCTTTGGTCAGCTTTGCCCCCGAATTGAGTTGTCGCACATAAATCAAGGCCCGCTTGGACCTAGGGTAACCCACAATAGATTTATGTATGTGTATTTATGGCTTGTAATCGACGTCATTTCAAGCTCAGCACAAAATGTATCTCTATTCCGTTTTGTGCAACCGACAAGATGCCATTCAAAGCGACTCCGACCCCGACCTAGGCCTGTGAGAATGCCTCAATCTCGAGCATTACAATAGCTGGAGGCATAAAATTTAAAATATGTTTTCTCGTATGCCAAACGCAGAAGGTGTTTATTCATTTGCCTGTGTTTCCCCTCACATTTCCATCAATCAATATCTTGGACTTGGTTTTTTTACACATTTTTTAAATGATTTCAATTCTCTCAGTTTCCAATATTAAAATTACAGACTCGGGCCTGGGTATACACGCACATTTGTATGCCACAAGCAAGCCCTGAAAATTGCCTAAAGATCGGACTGCAAAGGCCGAAGTTATGCAAGGTCTTCCATTACATAAGACCTTGTGAAAGTGTATTCAATAGGCAGCTGGAAGTTTAGTTCAAGGATCAAGGCATTTAACTGATTTTATGGCCCAGTTATTAAAAACAGATCTCATGTTTGATTAAAGTAAAAGCTGAAGTTGAGGCAAGTGTTCGACTTCCGGGTACTTGCGAGAAAATGGCCTGCAGCATGCGACAAATGCATTAGGAAATGGAAAAACTAATTGAAAACTGTCAACGTCAAATGTCAGAGACAATACACAAGGAGACAACTGAAAGTTAACCCAACAACATATGGAAACGGTTAACAAATTTTCATATGTCATAAAGTTAAGATCGACATGAAAACTGCACCACCCCCCCCAACTATACCTACACCCCCCAGCCCTACCTCCCCCTGCAGGCACTGTGTTAATGTGTTAGACGCGTGGGCTTGTGGTTGTCGGTAGCCGGTGGTGCGATATGCATCTGGCTCGGCTCCGGACATTGACAGTTGACCATTACGCGAATGACCTGTGCTTGACCCGGGGCCGAGGGGTTGCGTTGCGTCGCTCGGTTGTTCGGGTCCTGCGGTGTGGTCGGGGCGGGTGTCCTTCATTACATGTAAACATTTTCGGGTATTCGGATATTTAATTGATTTTCTGCACTAGCGCAGCTCGCTAGTCGTCATTAGCAGATCAGTTGCCCGCGATAAACCGGGCAAAACTTACCCACTAACTGCTTCTGTTTATATGATTAATGTCTGCCACACACAAATATACACACAGACGGACTGACAGACAGACTGACGAACCGACTGACGGACTGACTGATTGATGATCAACGCTCAAAGCGTAAGAGCTGGAAGAATTTGTCACAGTAGTTAGCTTATTTGCTCGAAGAGCACAGTAAGACCTCCTTGGGTGGAAAATGCGCGGAATGGACGAAGTTTTAATTCGTTGTAAGAATGTTTCACACAGTTCGGTGGAAAATGACGGGAATGACAAAAAGCATAAACTTTGAACGAAAATCGAATCGAATTACAGAAATCATCCACATATATCGGTGGAAAATGAGGGGAATAACAAAATGTGTCGTAATCTTAAACGAAAATCGAATCCCCTTTGGGTGGAAAAAGGGGGAAATCGACGTCCGCTTGGTAGTTCCTTTGAGTATATTCATTGTTGAAATGTTTCACATAATTTGGTGGAAAATGAGGGAAATATAAGAAAGTCTTAATGTTAAACGAAAATCGAATCCTCTTTGGCTTGAACTTTGGGTTCATAGAAGTGGAAAACGAAATTCACGAAGTGGAAGTTTTGCTTCGAGCCGTAAACTGTATCGTCGAACCTTATTGTTCGGCTAAAGTCATGCTATATATGAGTTTGACCCTTGACTGATTGCAGTTCCTCTGTTCTCACGTCTCTCATCTGCTTTGTTCCTGCTGTTTTTTGTGTTTTGTTTTTGTTTTCCTGGTCGGTGCACAGCGCGCCAAAAGTTTCGCACACTCTCAAAAGATTTATTGGCAAACACACACAAACACATAAATCTCAATCTGTCTGAGAAATGCACAAATCGAAAACGAAATCATATTGTGGCGAAATCAAAATTTAACCGCAAATTAGGCAATAAACAATGGCCAAAGCGGTCACGGGTTAAAATCGTTTAAAATTGCGACTGCAACGAGAGCAAAGGTCGCATTTCTACCTACCCACCAATCCACGGGAAAGGGTTGCCCTTCGACCGTACTCAGCAAATAAATGTAGACACACATCCGATTTGAAGCCTGGCAAAACCTTAAAATTGCACACATTTTACTTCTGGCTAGGGCTATGTGAAGTTCAACATAATCAAGCTCAAAAGTTGGATTACATCAAAATATTATAATCGGATCTTTATGACATTTGCAAAGCTTCCATATGGCATTTATGGCTAGGCTCTAACTTCAGGAATGAGCCTTTTTCCCATTCTAGAGAAGGCGGATAGATTTTGTATCTGTATATGCGAAGCGAATATCTACATTTCAAATTTGGTGTATCTAGCTCTTATATTCCTCGAGATATGCTTTAAAAATCAAGCCTTCAAATCGATATCTATCGATATAATACAAATGGAAGCAGATATCGAAATGAATATATATATCGAATACATATATTTTTTTTGCAATTCTCAAGTCTCTGGCTGGCGCACCTTCTGAGATCAGACAGACTAGCAGTAGGGCATGTCTAGATCGACTCGTAATATATGTTATTATTTTTAGGGATCGATTTACTTTATATTCTTCTCCGGCCTGTTACATACATTTAAACAAGAAACGCTATCTTTTCATTTTTAACGGGTTCAGGCTAAGAAATAGTTGCTTAAGGAATTTGATAGGGGGCTAAAAACTAGTTTAAAGAAAAACTCTTACAAGACGCAAGAAACAGGAGATCTTCCATGTGCTAGAGATTAAATATAATTACATACAAACAAGCTGCTTAGGAATATATTTCAATATTTCCAAATTTATATTCCTATATGTATTCCTATTAAGCATGATGATGAGATATTGTGGGTAGTTTCATTGGCATAGAAAAAGAAGGATAAACGGATTATACTATATCAGACCGGGTTTTTGATGCTGATCAAAATTATATATATGTATATGCATGTACTTAATGGGGTTTGCACAGGTGTAATAAAGTTGGCAGCTGATATCAGTTTATGGGTTAGTTTTATTGGTTTTCGTTAGTATAATAAAATAACAGGCCATCCGAACAGGATCATCATTTGGCCCGGGATGTTGTTAAGCTCCCAGATATACCACTTGCTGGGATTGTCTTACGGTATTATTCGCGACACGTGCTCAGTTCTGTTCGGTTTCTGTTTGGGCCTTCGATATAGTGGACAGCCAGACCCTTCTTCACGTCCAGGATGTGTTGGATCATAAGCTCCGTTAGATTAAAGCCGGGCACGTGGGCGCTATCGAAGAGCTGCATGTGATACCAGCAAATGGCGCGCACCAAGTCCACTGTAAAGGCAATTTGGGGGCGTGGTAAGGGCAACTCTGATCTATAAAAAGGGACTTACTTATTATGATCATATTCCAGTCGACGATGCGCAGCATATTGCGAATTATCATTGAAATCATTCTTTTCCCTTGCGGAGGCACACACGTAAGGGAGGCACAACGTAATCCAAATGTGATTTGAACAAAAACGACAACTCTGGCAGCGCGACGGCTATTCCAAGGCAATTGCTGTTATCTGGCAACGCCAAACGCAAAGAGGAAGAGCACACGTGCGCGGGCGCGAGCTCGCGAAAGCGCAAAGTGCCGTAAGAAAAGCTACGTTAGTTAAACGAACGTTAAATGGCAAAAGGAAGTGTTGGGCAACGCCAGTGCTGGGCAACGTCGTTGCGGCCATGCGGAAAAACTGGCTGCGCCGCCGCGGGCTAATCAATTACACAAAGTTGAGCGGGAAAAGGCAAGAACGAAAGAAAGGGGTAAACGACAGGCATTTGGCCCCTGGCTAAGATTCAATAAACTTAACATTTTATTCAAATTTAATTGCAGCCGTGCATTAATTTTATTTTCTCTTCTCCGATTTTGTTTTTTTTTTTTTTTTAATGTAAGGGAACCTGATCGGGCGGCTGTCAAACGGTTTGACAAACTTGCCGAGACACATTCTTGATGTGCGCTTCGTTCGGTGCCGTCCCGTTTAGGAATTTGCATTTCTAACCCTCGGATTCGCCTGGCCAATGGCCTTTGCGGTTGGGCTGCAGTTTATAGCCGCCCAGTTGTGAGGTTAGATTTATGCAACCCCTACCCCCATCCATCCTTCGGCCGGGCGAGGGGCGCGCTCCTTTTCCACGGCCACATTTTCACGTCTTTTCTTTTGGCTATTATCTCTTGCTTTTCTTATGTTTTTCGTGTATTTATTTTTATTTTTATTTTTTTTTTGCCAGGTAATTTTCTTGACAATTAAATATGCAAATGCCGCTAAATGTTTCTGTGTGTTTGGCATTTAGCCCGGCCCCTGGCCCCGCGCACTATTTATCCAGCTCGTCTCTGACCCGGACCAAGAAATACAAAAACAACAGTTCAACGCTACAAATTTGACCCGTTCTTGTTTGGAAGCAAGACGCCTTGGAATATATCGAAATATATATCATATTCTTGTTAAATAAATAAAACTTGATAACACTTATGTTAGCAAAGGATTTTAAAATATTTTTAAATGCTCAGATAACATCTTGTTTAGGATTGGGGGGCAATTGCAGAACGAGGAACGAGGTAGTTGGATCGCCTTAGTCTAACTTAATCGCTTATTAGAAAATATTACAAATCAAGACAAGGGTTTAAGGTTTTTAATACTAAGGTCCTTTTTCTTGATCTAGACGCTGTGTATCTGATAATTGGCAGAAATAAATTCAAACAAAATAAATTTAAATTACCTTCAGAACTAGAAAAGAATAGGAACTTCTGAAATTGAGCGCAGTTGAATGCATGGCCTGCACTGGATATTGGCCAAACAGTGTTGGTAAACGCCAAAGCCAGCAATGAAGCCAGCTGTACATGCAACTGCCAGTTGGCAGGTCCAACAAAATGGCGCAATTGAATTTTGTAAATCAAGCTTATTTTATTGTTACTTTTTTTTTTTTGTTGGGGCTGCCGACAGCCTGTTTTCCAGTGTTAGTTAACAACACGTGCCGTTGACAGTTGGCAAGCTGAAAATTGAAGGTAGCTCAACTGAAATTTTGTTGTAGAATTGAATTTTAGTTTTCCCAGTGCCACAGTGTGAATACCATGAGAAGTTTCTCAATACCGCAACAGCAACATAATCAACAAACATACGAGAGGTCCATCTATCACCAGGTGCAGTCCCTGCAGCAGCAGCAGCAGCAGCAGTCGGTGGAGAATGCGACGGTTACATACGGCGAGCCGTTGTCCGTGAATGGCGTGCCGGCCACAGGTATTTATCACAATGGCACCTGGTACAATGCGGCGCCCCAATTTGGTCCGTATCAGCCCGCCGATGGGCAAGGGCCACTGCAGCTGGTGCTCCAACAAGCCGCCAGCCAGAATGTGCCGCAATACGAGCCGCAAACCTACTGCTATCAGCCGCTGCAAGTGCAGGAGGCTCAGCCCTTGGGCTATGCAACCGCCTATCGGCCAGTGGAGCCGCAATCGTCGACCAATCCACAGGCCTACGCCTATCAGCAGCATTCCGTCCAACAGTCCCAGTCCCAGTCACAGTCCCAGCAGCAGCAGCAGCAGCAGCAGCAGCAGGTGGTGCAGCTGGCGCCCACCTATTATTATCAGCCCGTGCAAATGGTCGCGGGACCACCAACTGGCCAGCCATACGTGGCAGCCTCGGCCAGTCTGTCACAACTGATCGCAGCTCCGGCCAATGCACAGCAGCAATATGTGACAGCAGGCTCAAATGTACAGCAATTGATCGCAGCTGCACCACCGACTGCACAGCAAATGATGACAGCTCCAGCTCCAGCGGCACCACCACCAAGCCAGCTGATGGAGCAGCCACAGGCACAGCAGCAGCTTTTCAGCTCCTCCCAGTCGTACAACTATCAGGTGTGTAACTATCAGGATGCACCTGCACCACCTGCACCAGTTGGGCTGCTGCCCACGCCCGATATGCTGCCACAGACAGACGAGGCATTTGGCCATCAATGCTATAATTATTCGCAGCCACAGTCGCCACGAAGTCCACCACCCATGCCATCGTACGATGCACCACCACCCATGCCGCTGGGCCTATCAACGGATTACATTGAGCCCGAAACTGTTGAGGTGGACATATCGATGGCCAGCGATGTGTTCATAGCCAGGACACCCGACAAGCTGGTGGTCAGTCTATATAAGCTGCGCGGCAGACGCAAGCCAGTCCCAGGCACCCAGAATGTATATATAAATGGACGAGTACCTGACTGTACCATATCGCAGTCCAAGTCGGATGTCTGTTCAGATCAGGCCACATATCGGAATGGCTGTCATGAGCAGGACTTGGCTGTTGCAGCTCAATCGGAGGTGAGTGAGAAGATCCTAACCTGGCTATACCCTGGCTGTACCCTGGCCGTACCCTGGCCATACCCATCAGTACCCTCTTAATAAGCTCCTTTGATATTCCATAGGCGACTCCAGATGCTCCACCAGCTATGGAAGCTGCTCAGTGCTATATGGAACCAACAGAGCATGTGCTATGCGCCCAGGAGCTGGTAATATATAAACAATTTTGTGCATACCCTGTACCCATTGAGTGGGGGAGAGTGAGTGAGGTTGTAAGAGAGAGGCGGTACGAAAGAGTGAGAGAGAGAGAGAGATAGGTTGTAAGAGAGAGGTGGAATTAGGAATGGATATTTGAGAGTGGAAAGCAGAAGCATACAGCCATTATTGATAGTTTGGTATAGGGTATCTATTGGTCGGGCACGTCTAACGTTAAGTCCCACAATTACAGCCCGAACGCATGGACAGTCCACCGAATGCAGCGGATCAATTGGCGCCCGGCTTTCAGGCCTTCAATGTGATTGATTCATCCAATTTGTTGGAATGTCCGGCGGTCACTGCGTCCAGGCCCATGATGGAGCAAAATCCGCTGATTTTGTGCAATGCAGATATGGAAAAAAAATTCTATCCATGTCCCAATAGGGAGGCGGCACCCAAGCCAAAGGATGTTGACAAAAAAATGGATGTCGTTGAGCAGTTTCGAGCGCCGCGTCGCGTCAATCCAATCAGCACACAGCAGCTGGGTCTGATCAGGCCCTGCAAGTCGGAGCTGGTAAAAAACGAAAGTAAATATCTGAGGAATAACTATATGCCCGATGTGGGTCGCGCGGCAAAGCAGGCCAACAAGCCGCAGCGGCAGCCCGAAATGATTGTCAAGGAAATCCTGAAACCGCCGCCCAAGCTAAGTACACAGGAGAAAAACGAGAAGCTCTTGCCGGAACTATTGAATATCAGTTCTAGCAAATCGTTTCAAGCGAATGCCGAGAGTGCTCAGCATATAAATGAGACAGTAAAGCCCGACTCAGTGTCAGCGGCAGAGAGCTTTGCGGTAGAGCCTGGCGAAATTACGGACAAATTAATATCGCAGGTATTCGCTGGACATATTGTGGCGCAGCTTTGCCAAACGGCCAGCAAATTCGCAGCACCACAATCAACTGGCAAACCAACTGTCCAGGGCAATTCAAATGGCACGCTGTCAATTTTCAAGCTGCCAGCTCAAGTCAGTCCAGCCACAGTCCAAGAAAACTTACCAGAGAACTTGAGCCCCACACACTCAATTTTGAAGCTGCCAGCTCAAGTTAGCTTAAGCACAATACCATCAAGCCAGATCAACTCAAACGCAACCCAATCAAATTTAAAGCTACATTCTCCGGAAGCACCAGAAGCAGCTGCTCCCAAGACAACCCAATTGGTAAGCCCAACAGCAACTGCAGAAACCCCACAGGTAAGCCCATCAATTGTCACAACCAATTCTTTGTCTAAAGCTATTATCTCAGGAAACTCCCAAGACAACCCAAGCAACTGACATGCAGGCAGCTCCAGAGCTCCCAAAGGCAGTCTTAAAAATATCACAAGAAAGTTCCAAGACGGTCTCAAAGGCCGCCAAGGCACTTCCGCAGATATCCAAGAAGAAAGCCAAGCTCTTGGCTCGGAAAAACCAAAAGCCATTTCAGCCTCAGACCCAACACCAAATTCCAACAAAATCTGTGCTTCAAATTGGAGCCAAGCCAACTCCAAAGCTATCCCAGACAAATTATAAAACTACACCTGAATTTAATCCAAAGACAACTAAAGACAATCAAAAAACAACTACGACAAATTTCAAAATGTCAGCTGAAGCGGCACCAAAGTCTACTCAAGCAACTTCAAAAATATCAGCTCAAGTAACGCAAAAGACATCCCAACCAAGCTCAAATGTATTAGCTGAAGCGAACTCCATGCTAGCTCCAGTAGCTTCCAAGCTACCAGCTGAAGAAAACCAAAAAACAACAGAGACAAACTCTAAATCATTAGCGGAAGAATATACAAAGCTAGCTCAAGTACATTCCACGATATTGACTCAAGGAACGCAAAACACATCAGCTGAAGTGAGCCCCAAGTCAACTCAGGAAGCTGCCAAGCTACCAACTCAAGAAGACTTCAAGCTACCAGCTCAAATAGCCTTCAAGCTTCCAACCAAAGAAAATCAAAAGACAGCCCAGACAAGCTGCAAACAAACAACTGAAGAAACAGCCAAGGTCGTCCAAGACAACCCGAAGACGACCTCAAAAGCAACTCAGAAAATTTTAGAAACTCTACAGACATCTCCGCCGAATTCCAAGTTATCACCCGAGTTGATCCCAAAGGCAACTGAAGTAGCTTTTGACCTACCAACTCAAATAGTTTCCAGGCTGTCAGCGCAAGAATATCAAAAGACATTCAAGCCAAGTTCTAAACTGTCACCTGAAATAATTCCGACTCAAGATAACCAGAAGATATTCCAGCCAAGTTCTAAACTTACACCTGATGTAACCCTAAGTTCAACTCAAGTAGCTTCCAGGCTATTTACTTCGGAGAATCAGAAGCTAACGCAAACTATTTCTAAGGTCTCCCCTGAAGTAAGTCCAAGGACTTCGCAATTAAAAACAAAATGTTCACCGGAAGTAAGCCCAAAGGCATCGGATGTGGCCTTTAAGGTGCCAGCACAAGTTAGATCGAAACTCTTGTCTCAAGGAAATCCCAAATTATTGCAACCTATTTCCCAGCTACCATCCCAGAAGCAGGCAGCTCTTTCAGACAGACCTGAAAAAGTTGCATCAGAGCTAACACGCTCAACCACCCAGATCTTTTCCCAGAACAAATCCCAACTTGTCGACGCGACACTAAAGTGTATTCCCCTAAGGGGAGCTAGTAGTATTATACTGGCGCCATCTAAAGCAATCAAATCTTTGGCTGCCAAGTGGTCCATGCCCGAAAAAGCTGTCGGTGCTGAGTCCAAGCCGCCAACTCAAGTAGATGCTAAGCCAAGTCCTGAACTTAAAATCGTATCGGAGGTAGCTCAACCCAAGCTAAAACTAACTCCTGTGGGTAAATCTGAGGTCAACACAATTAAAGCCATGCAGAAGCCCATTCCTGAGGATAAGTCCGAAGCAGAGATAAAACAAGCCCAGCATTTGATTGCTTCGACATACCTAGGGTTCCCTTCTAAGTTTGATCCTACACAGCAAGATAAGCCGATTGAGCAGAAGACAAGCCAATTTAAGGCAGCTTCAGAAGGTGTTAAGCTGGTACCAATTGGAAATCAGACGGTAGAGCTGAAGAGAAACCAGATAAAATGGGCTTCAGAAGGTCCTGCGTCGGTTGAGCTCATGGCAAACCAGATTAAGGTAGCTTCAGTAGTTTCAGAACCGGTAGAACTCGATTTAAAATTAGTTTCAGAGGATGCTGAGTCAGAAGTACCCGAGACTTACCAGATAAAGTTTACCTCAGAAGGTGGGAAACTCGAAGAAAATCAAGCTTTAGACGAAAATCAACTAAAGTCAACTGCAGAAGATGCGCTTCCGGTAGAGCACGACGAAACCCAAGTAGAGATACCTTCAGAAGGGGCGAGGCTGATAGAGTCCAAGTTAAACCAATATGCTGAGTCAGTAGAGAAGAATCACCATGAATATATATTTGGTACTCCAGAGCATTCTAATTTGAATACTTCAAAGGATGCAATGCAGTCTGAGCTTACAGCAAACCCAATAAAGTTGGCTAAACCAGAGGGTGCCGAGGCGGTAGAGCTCCAATCAAAATCAAACATAGCTGCGCAGACAAGTTGTGAACAGGGCGCGGACAAGTCAGCATATCAAGAAAAATTGAAAAGCGGCTCCAAAAAACAATATTTAGCACACCCTACACTAGCCGTACCGGAAACAAACCAAACGACGAGCTTGGAGCAAGCTGGGAAGCCATCGACAAAGCCAAAACCACGTAAGATAGATGATCTGATGCTAAACGTAATAAGCGCGGAGGAACCGATCCAGCCGTTTGGTGTGCAGCAGCAGCAGAGTATTTCAAAGAAAAAGCCTGCCAAATTGAGCAAACTGGAGCGCAAGGCGCTGCGACGGGAGGCAAATAAGGCGCAGCACGAGCTCCAGGCTGCTCAAAAGGCCGAAGAGATGGCAAGGGCAGGGGCCGAGCGAATTCCGAACGATGAAGCCGTTAGAGAGCCCAAGAGAAAGAAGAAGAAGAAAAATATAAATTCAGATACCGAAGAAGTTCAGGAGGATGATAGAAACGAAGACTCCGGTTCCGAACCGGAAATCGAGTGCCCAGCGTTAAAGGAGGTTTGTGATCCAATTTTGCGTCGTAAACTTATGACAATCATTCATAAAATTGTTAATCTGTGAATTAGAACAAGAGTTTGCAATAAAGAAGCATTTTTATTATAGACGCGTATAATTTTTTTTGGGTCAAAACTGGTTCCGAACTGGTTACCAAACAGGGAACCAAAAGCGCGGGTTCATAACTGGTTCTAAATGGAGATAGAGGAACTTTAATTCAGGCAGATGTTTTCTTATGTTTAATTGGGATACAAGGTATAAAAAATATTCAAACACAGACTGGTTCACAGCTGGTTTCAAAAGTGAACCAATGAACTAGTTCATATCGGTTCCAGCTGGTTCTGTAGAGGTTCTAAATCCATACAATGGCTGTGAGCATTGGCTTATAACTGGTTCAAACTGAGTATTAAGGAACCTTAGCTCAGGCACAGTTTTCGTTATGTTTAATTGTGATACTTGGTATGCTCACTGGTTCACAACTGGTTCCAAAGGTGAACAAAGGAACTGCTGAGGCATATTTGCATAAACAATACTCCAGATTCGAACGGTTCAGAGTCCTTAGACAAATGCCGATTTGCATGGTCTCACATCAGCCGAAATACTTGTCCATAGTTCCAGGTGTGGCTGGCACTAATTAAGTGTCGAAAGGATTAACTACGCCCACAGTTTGAGCTGCTCTCAATTGATTTATGAGCGGAACTACCTGCTCATTAGCATGAGCCAGCGGCACCTGAGCTGACCGCCCGCCCGTCCGCCTGCCTGCCTGCCTGCCTGTGCGTGTGGCATATTCATTGAGAACAAAAGCAAGGAGCACTTTGAATACATTCGTTCGAACATTCATTCACCCATTCAACCATTCACTCATTCGTATCTCTGTGTTGATCAGTGCGTATTCTAATTCTAATCCTTTGAGAAACTCATTTGGCTTAGCTCCTTTTCATTTCTTGCTTTCGTATTGCGACAATCTTGCGACAATCTTGAGTCGGGTCTGGTAGTCGGATCCGCAAAAGGTGTCGGAAATGCTTTCCATGCTTTCCTTATCCAGCGGCAGCTGTGCGGGTGTAGTTATATGTATGTTACGATCCCATTGTGCCCAGTTATGCGATCCATTCAGATTAGTTACATTTGCAGTTGGCAACCTTTTCCTAATCCCAGCCCAAGCTGTCATAAGCAACTAAAGGTAACTCTAATAACTATGTGATCTGTATTTATTAAACTTTATTTATTTATTTTATTCAAGCCTCGAAAAGCTAGAGCCCCCAATCAAAACCTATATAAAGTTAACACAAAGCTAATAACTCTAAGCTACAAATCTAGCCTTCTTTTCGGCAATAGGGCTTAGACAGCTGATGCCTCTGTCTCGCCCCGCCGATAAGGCTGCAATCTTACCTCTTGAGAAAATCCTTTCTTCTCAATTTTTTAAGATTAGCTTTATGTAAAGTAATTTTCCGGGCTGATATCAGATACGTTAGCAAAACTTTCGCAAAGAAAATATATGTATATATATGTTCAAATGAATATATAAGTAAGAGATAGAGAGAGAGAGTTTTAGATAAAAATCAAGTATCTCCGATTTCCCATGTCTAAAAATGTTTTTAAGTACACAAACTTTCTTGTTTTTCAAGTGATCTCCACCAAATTTGGCCTATAGAAGTCTAATCATGCTCTTTGTTTGTGGTAAAAATCTTTTTAACATCGGACTACTATATCACATATTTCTATAGGTAGAAACGGTTGAAAAAGGGGTTTGCCTGGAAAAATGTTTTGTTCTTGAAGATATCTTGAGAAAACGCAGCTCTGCTCCCAAAATAACTGCAAAGCCGCTTCTATATCATAGGATTTCCATATGAGGAATTGTTTGGAAACAAAGCTTATGTATAAGAGCCCATCTGAGGCTTGGGTCTATCTTCTTGACTTCTGTTATGCCCCTAGTTGCTTTGCGAATAATTGTCTCTTATCTTTGGTTAACCAATTACAAATGTTGCTTCTCTCTTTGGCGAGACATAGAGCTAACTAAATTTAGTAACTCTATAGGGTATAGTACTCATAACTTTTTGCTTTTCAGTTTTTTGTGCCTCAGTAAATTGTTTTCGTTGCTGCCGTTGAGGCCGTGCCAGCTGCCACGTGGCCGTTTACCGAGTTGTTGCACCTCAATTTGGGCCCATCAAACGGCCGACTAACTCGTCTAATTGGCGCACTCCTTGACTCCGCCTGTCCCTGCCTCTGCCCCTACCCCTGCCCACTGGCCGGCAAACGGCTTGACCATAGCGCTACTTTCTGGGCCTTATCGGGCTTATCGTAATTGCATCTGGAGTGCCCACGTTTTCGACTGTGTCATGTCACATGTCACAAGAAAACAAAACCAAAAAAAAAAGCGAGAAAGAAGGGCTATTTTCGGCACGCTGAAGATTTAATACACTGCCAGACCTAACATTTTCATAATGCTCATAGTGCTTTGCCAGTATCTAAAAAGCACAGGAAAAATAGTTATTGCAGATTATGTTTAAGATATCCTACTACTTTTCGACCGATCGTTCCTATGGCAGCTCTATGATATAGTGGTCCGATTTTGTTGGGATTTTGCATATATATGGGGAGCATCGTAAAACTAATAAATGCCGAGTTTGGTCATGATATCTTGATAAACAAAAAACTTTTTCACACAAGAACCTATTTTTCGACCGATCGTTCCTATGGCAGCTAAATGAAGTAGTAGTGCGGGCAACAGAAAGAGGGACTTTTGCAAAGTTTCATAGAGACATCTTTAAAACTGAGATACTAGTTCGCATATAACAGAGGGACATGGCTATATCGACTCGGCTGTTAATGCTGATTAAGAATATATATACTTTATGGTGTCGGAGATCTCGCCTTCTATGCGTTATACAAAATTACAAAATTACAATACCCTCTTGCGAAGAGTATAAAAACGAGTCTTGAAGAAAAACCTCACGCGTATCGATGTCGCTCGCCTTATCGAGACACTGTGGCTTCGAAAAGGGGGCGCGGCTGGCGCTGATTCCGAACGCCAACCCTTTGGAAAAACGAAAATAATTTATTGCTCAATTTATGTTTGCTTAGACTGCCAATAGTTCAATAATTCATAATGCCAGAGTGCGTGCCGCGGCAAATGGAAATATGAAAATGAAAATTTGCATAAAGGACATTTGCATTCGCGTCTTGAGGGCTGCTCGCCGGAGTCGAAGTCGGTGTCGGAGTCGGAGTCGGAGTCTGGGTCGGGGTCGGCGTCTCGTCTCGTCTCGTCGGACAGCTGTCGGCCCTGCCCCGCGCCGCCCCTGGCTGACTTTGTACCCGGTCCCGGAAAGGTGTGAGGCCATGTAATAGACGCGACGCGAGACGCAAGATGCAAATGAAATGATGTTTGTCGAGAGGCGAACTGGTAAAAATGGGGAAAAGCCAGGCCTGGCGCGTTGTTTTTGTTTTTGCCATCTTGTTTTGATATGTAAGTTGATATATGATATTTGATTTTTTGGAACCTTTCCATTACCTTACCCTCTCCCTCTCCCTCTCTCTCTCTCCCTCTGCCTTTTGCCCTTTCCAATTAACTGGAGACTAGGCAAGGTTTTCTTTTCCTTTTTTTTTTTGCGCATAGCTTTTGGGCCAACAGCTGCCGCATTTTTTTTTTTTTTTGGCTCTGACTCAGGCTCTCTCTATGCAAAATAGTTCAAGTCCCGCTTAGTCGGGCCTGTCGGCTTTTTGGCATCTCGCATATGGCGAGGCGGCGGCGCGTAACGCACGCTACCTGTGCGGTGCCCGGTTCCAACCCCGACTGACAGTCACTCCACATGGTCACTTCTCCAGCCCGAACCATTCCATGCCAATCCACTAACAGACTAACAGGCAGACATACAGTCAGACAGACAGACAGCTTGCGTGCATTGTAAATTTGTTTGCCAAATCAATTCACAAAAAAAAAACCAAACAGAAAATAATTGTCACCCTTAACTTTGTATACTCTTGCAAAGGTCATTATCATTTCAATTTTTTGCTAAATAAGTAATGCACTGATGAAGACATTTGCGAGTTCTTAAGGTACATATATATTTATTTCTTTTTTTGCAAGCCAAGTCCGTTTGGGTCTACAACAAATAATTGCTCGACTAGGGGATACCCAGAATCTTCTTCTGCTAGCAACAAATGCAGATAGCTATAAGTTCAAATATGCTGTATATGTATATATTATATTATTATATTTATTATTCCAGTAGCTACATGTCAAATTTGTTAACTCTAGGCACTAAAACCCAAGAAATATGCTCAAAAAACAGGAGATCGATTTTTATCGATTGCCTGGAAACTCGGCAAGTTATCGATTAGCAGTAAAAACCTCATACCTCAAGTCTCTAGCTCCTTTAGGTTCTGAAATCGAAACTTTTCTAGAAATGGACTACTAGGACAGATGGACGGTTGGACGGACGGACAGATGGTCACCCAGACGGACATGGCTAAATCGACTTGACTATTGATGCTGCTCAAGAATATCTATAATTTATCGGTTCGGAGATCTTCTTCTGCCTGTTACACACATTTGCCCCTAACCATGATACCCTATACAGGGTAAACCCAAATGCTGAGTTTCTCGTCTTGGTTTACTGATCAGAAACAAGTAAGCTTGATGGACTCCAAGCTGTCACCTACTTATATCTAAAAACCAGCTTCAAGAATTCTAAACCAAATTTGTATTGAATTGCGTAAAATATGCCCATAATTATCTATTGATTAATATCGTTTCATTTTACGCGCTGTCAAGGAGTTTTATTTGAATGCAAAAACCCAAAGCAGAGCATGTCTATAGGAAAGTAAGACCCAAGCAATATGAGAATCAATTGAATTGTTGCCATTTCTCGTGTGATAAATGATAGTCGAACTAACCTAAATTTATGCACTGATCCGCACAGATTCTCGTCAAGGATGCGATTCCCGAGCATGCATACCATATATCATCATGCATCATCGGGCTGTTGAGATATTTCCCGAACCCAAAGATGAAAGAGGTATCGAAGGAGAACAATCTATTGAGGAAATGATCTAACAAATGTTGCGCATCATGCCGCGCATATCATTAATGCAAATCTCTGGGGCAATGGT